CCACTACGACTTTGCCGACTTCGAGAGCGGCAAGGCCCGTTTTATAGCGTCCAAATAAAATGAGTGGGGTCAAAAAGTTTATGCTAAACTCACTCCTCCCAGTGATCTCATGCGTCGAGGTTTCCTTGACGCACTCCTGACCCCGTTCAGAGTCAGGGCTTAGGCCTAAACTTATCAGGGAACGTACAGTCTTGTTTGTTACGGACACTGGGCGTTTGAGGTAGAGGAGGGGAGGCTGGGTTTGATGCGGCGCCGGGCTGTTCTGCAGAAGTTGTGGTCACCTGCCAGCCGCCAAAGTTGGTGCAGAAGGTGCTGGCGCCGCGCCGAACCCTGCCCCCTGGAACACCCCAGCGTCCGCAGCGAACAAGGCTGTAAACACACCTGATACGTGTGCAAACGCTTCAACTGTTTTTAATGGTGGGAATGTCCATGACGAAGGAACCAGGTGAAGGCAAATGGGGGGGGGGGGCTCGATAGCTAGATAACTAGTTCACGTCTTCTCCATGTTTAGCTGATCATGTGTGCTCTCAATGAGTTCCCAAAAAGTTCGGTTGTTTGCGATGAAGATGCAGACGGGCGACAAAGGGACATGACTGGTCTCGTCCAGCCCTAGATGAAATTCAGGAGATCTCGGTCATGGCGCGCAATTTAGCTGGTATTCCTAGCCAGTTAACCCGGCGCATTCCTTTGACGTCATGCCAATTAGGTCGCCTGCCTCCCGTTCCATTCGCTTGACGGCATTGTCTCGGACAAAATACGACCCCTTCCCGCTGGGCCAGCCCATTCCACGAGGTGACCTGCAATGGATGCCATTTCATGAGTGAAACCACTGAATGAATGGACGCGACCCGGCAGTGTTCCTCAAAAATTGAAAAGGAAGGTAGCAAGTTGAGAGTTGCTGATTTGTTTGAGACTGGATCATCAAATAAACGTTGAAGACTTAAGACTGCTTTGATACTGAACTTTTTCGAGTCAACTAGCTAAGAATGCCATTTCGCGCGCAATGTCGCGTCTAGGATGTTCTGGACAACGTGCCCTGATCCCGCAATCTTCGACCATTTTTGCTCATGGAACCACTTATGAGAATGACTTCCTGATTTCTCGTCTCTTTGAAATCAGCACTTACGTGATACTGCGACTGGTCTTGTCACCTGCTGCGGCACCTGTTGGAACTGACTGAAGAACGGAGGATTTTGAATCTGGACTGCTTGAGGATAAGCGTACAGATGACGTTTTCTCTGTGGAATTTCAGCAGAGTCGACCAAATGACGACGACCTTCTAAATTGTTCTGTTGATTGCCAGAACACGGGCAGAATAAATGTTTCTGAAACCCACTGTGAACTTGGCGTTTTTCGATTCGTCGACCGAATTTGTCTGCAAGTTTCAGCGCTTCCTTCCATATCAGGTCATGTTCGGTCTGAAAATCGATTTTCATCTCTTTGGTAGCTCCAACTAGTCACTTCGGTGTAGGGCGGGAAGGGGGGAGGGGACAGCCAGTGAGACTGAGCCGTGTTTGTCCTCTACTTGCTTGCTTGCACCCTCGGCACCAACCACGCAGTGAATGTCATCTCGCTGAGGGAGCGCAGTTGAGCCGAAAAGGGGCGCGGATAAGTCTCGCTGACAATTAGTCCCATCACTTCCAGTGAAATGGCCTAAGATGGATGACGCTAAGAGTGCACAATTTCATACATTCGACAATAAAACCAAACTAAAATGAACGTGTTGGTGGACGCCTGCAGGAAACGACATAATTTTTTTTGAAAAAAATCGCTCTCACTTCGTTCGCATTGAGCTCGTTGCGGTGGCAACCGCGTCGCCACCGCAACGCCTCCCAGGTGCGCCTATATGTAGAAAAAAACTTAGTTCATCGGAGCAAAGACTGTGAAGGGGCGGGGGGGAGAGAGGTGGGTGGTAGTAGTAGACGAAACTAGGCCCTTCTTAAACTTACCATTACTTTTTCTCACTGGTGGCAAACAAAAACACCGAACACTGCCTGTTTGAGAGAGCGCAGACGAACAGCGGACCGTAGTCTATGGAAAATTCGGAGTCAGCTCTTTCGATTTCAACTCAAATTTCATTTTTTCAAAGTTTCTGTTGCTGTCTGCGCTCTATCGCCAGCAAACGTTCTATGACCACTGTGACCTTACACTTACCTACATTTCATGTGCGATGACTGCTCATTCACAGTGTCTCCCCTCGCAGAAAACCCATCCTGTTCCATTCTTTCCGCACGTCTCGATGTTGTGTTCAGTAGCAAGACCCCAAATCCCTAGGATGCAGTAGGCGTGACTGCAAACTTCATTTGAAGATGGCGGGGGCAGCGCCTTCTTCAGTTATTCTCGTTTCGGAACAGTTGTAATCATGTCTTTGTCTAACGCGGGGCAAGATGATAGTTGTTTGAAAATGAAGGGTTCCATAAATAATAGATCCCACCCCATATTTCAATGAAGTACGCAGCTACGCCTCCCCCCGTTTTCTCTCAGCTGATATGAAGCATATCTGGGCTACAAAGTTTCACGACAGAACCATGCAAAAAGTTCAAGTAGGATACAACCCTTGTCCTCTATCACTGCTGGCTCCTCCTTTGCCCCATGAATATCCCAGGATCGTCATAAAAACAGCTGTATAGATAAAATGAGTGTTGGACCGGTTGCACCGCGTGGACGCAAATGGAACAACACCGATCGCGCTGACCGCGCTGACCGCGGAGGTCTGACTGAACCTTGAATCGCGAACAGATTTTTGAAACCACATTCTCGCTTCAAATGAGTAGGATTCCTTCAGAGGGAACAGAGTACAGACTTGGCGAAGGAACTCACTCGGAAATTGACGATTTCAACCTCAGCAACCTCGTTGAGTGCCAATAGGTCCGCATGAAGTTTTGCAACCAAACCAACTCCACCGATGACAATGATTAAGCATCCTATAGCCACACCCCAAGCTAGTCGATCAGCACTTGATTCCACCATCAATCTGAAAAATCTAGTTGATGCTTCATGAAAAAAACCATACGCGTTCCGAATTCGGCGAAGAAGATTTACAATGGAGGGAGTCTAGAATTGTTTGAAGGTGCGCGATCAACGACGGGGACACGACACGATTAGGACACGCACGCGGGAATGGGAGAGCTTGCCTGCCTGAGAGGCAGTCGAAACCGATGGATGCAATGGACTTGCTATTGAAAGTAGTTGGGGTGAATCAGAAATAAGGGCTCCGGAGTGGCCATGTTCACGGCCTCTTCCCAGCTGAGTGCACGAGATCAGCGCCTAAGATGGTAAGGGCACGTATTGAGAGCACCAGCGAAGCACTGTACTTCAAAGGGCAGGGTAAGCGATTAATAGGAGCTTCAAGGAATGTCATTAAAGGTGAAGCCCGCGATCACGCCCGCGATCATATAACAGCTAGTGGAGTAGGGGCTTGCATATGGACAACAAGGTGCTGAGTAACTCGATAGTGAAGAAAAAGCAGAAAACATGCCAACTGCCCTAGATAGAACCCCATTTTGATCCCAGTTTGTACGTGCCCATTTAACTCCATCCAACACTACGCCCCATCCGCACAGCTGACTACGACCGTACAAGTGACGATATCATGCTTTTTTCGTCCAGCAGCTTCGTTTCTCACTGAGCGGCTTTGAAAGCGGAGTCTGGAGGCGGATACTACACCCTCCCGACGCCATATTTTCAATTAGTAAACGCAATCGCGGGCCGTGCCTTTAAGGAGAAACTCGCTGACACTGAGACCACAACAGAAGATGTCTTGGACAGATGAAAATGGTAATGTTCAACAAGAGCAGCTGTCGGCGACCGAGTGACCCCTCTGGACAGGGGACTGGCGAATTTTCCGCGAAGCGGCAGCAATTTCGCGGAAACTCATGCTCTCACTGGCCCAGAAAACGCTGCTCCATACGACCCGCTAACGTTGCAAAATTAGATTTTTGAGAACTTTTGGCTTATTAATCTAAGGTTACAACCTTTCCTGCCATCCCTTCGAGAGGCGCCACCTTGTGACCCCTCTTCTATAGTGCTGAACCTTGTTCTCTCAAGCTGAATAAGATCCTAATGTGTAAATACAGCGCAATTACCTAGAATCCCCACCTCTTCCCCATCACCGCCAGAGGTGAGGTTACCCGAAAATCGGACCTTTTCTGGTGAGGTCTGAAAGAACATGCTTGTAATTGGAGTGGTTAACGGCATGTACCGACCACTCATCAAAAACTTGTTGGGATGGGCATTCTTCTTCCACTCAGAATCCTAATGGCATACTGAATTCGATGTGACCTGCACAAGTACATGATGATGTTTTTATCCTACCAGAGAGACCTTGTACCAGTTCACTGTCCTCGGAGAGTGGAAACCTTGGTTGGATATTGGATGGCCTAGGCGGGAGCAGATAAGCATTTTGAACCCTGCGCAGCACGCGTAGAGAGCGGCCATTCGACAATGAACCGCCTCCGCCTAGTACTTTTCACTGCAGTTATCCATTGGTACACTCCTTATCCCTAAGCCGGAGTAGGCCTGGCATTTGAACATGCCATAGAAAGGATTACTCGTGGGATATTTTAATTCGAGACAACTGTCATCTTGCTCATGTTGAACAAGACATGATCACAGTTGTGTCAAAATGAAAGTTTCTCTCCAAGCCAAATTTTGTTGAAGTACGCAGCCACGCCTACCTCATCTCAGGGATTTCGACGGTTTCCATAACATAAAACTAGGAAGAATAGAACAAGTAGTC